ATAAGTGTAATTGTGACTGAAAAACTGTTAAAGCTTTTTTACTTTACTAAACTAGAAGTGTAAGCCAAGCAACTGGCCTGTAAAACTAACTACTCAGCTGACAGAATCCAGCAGAATCAAGGTTTGAAGCTAGCCTGGGCAGAAAAGTCCATGAAACTTCATCACCAAGAGGTATGGCTCAAGTGACAGAGTGCCAAACAAACCCAGTTGAGCAAGTACAAAGCCCTGAGTTCAAATCCCAGTACAGCCAAAAACAAACCAAAACAAACAAAAATAAATAAGTTTTACTTCCCAAATTTCTAATTCTGTTCTCTCCTAACTAATCCTCTTCCCCCCTTGAATCTAAGAAGTTGAATAAAGGAATTTTTTTTACTATATGAATACACCTATATTTCTTAAATGAATTATCACTATGAATATACTTTTACCACATTCTCTTGTAGTACTTTATTCTCCATCAACTTGATATTCCATGTTATTATATCTTCTCTTCTTTATATTATTCAGATATATGACTTCGAAAAAGCCAAATAACTTGGGTTTGTTCCCCTCTCTTTTATATAGCTTTAAAAAAAAATAAGTTCTATTTTATCCTTGAATAATCACTAATCAATGGGAAATATAAAATTTTGATCTTGTATCTGGAAGCTTCAACATTTCATTGTAGTCTCATCAGGAAAAAATAAATATTCTACTATATGAAGGTCTAATTTATTCCCAAGGCCAGGTAATAGGTACATCTTGATCACCTCCAGCAAAAAAAAAAAAAAATCATAAATACTGAAGAGTTTCTAATGCCAGGGACTTTACTGAATCTGCGTACCTACTCTGTGAGGTGCTTTATTTTAATGATGAGAAGTGAGACTTTGAAGAGACTAATGTATCCAGTTCACTAACTAATCAGAGGCAGACCTGGAATCTAAACCCAGGCTGGACTAAGTATTAAGTCCGAAATGCCCATTTGAAATTTCACCTTCTATTAACTTATAAGGATGTTCATAAAATTAATCTTGCTATTTTTAGGTAGTGAGTCTGAGGTGAGATTTTTAGCTTTCCTTTTTGTACTTTTATGTCATCTTGTAATTTCCTACCATGAGCAAGAAAGTGTTTTTCTTTCTCTAAAAAAGAAAGAAAGAAAGAAAGAAAAATGGGTCTGACAAAAAAAAGAAAAAAAAATCAAGGCAAAAAATAAAGCCTTCAAAATAGTGTTTACATATTCAAGTAGGGTAAGAAGATAGTAGGCCACAGATACAGGGAAGGATACTGAGGTAAGAGGGAAAGCAAGATGGAGTACAGAAGCCACATACCTTGGCCTAGCATGCTTTTCTTAAAACTTAGTCCACCTAAATGTTTTCATCTTTGACCTAAAACTCTCACCATGAATTTAAGAAACACTGTGTGTCAGAACTCATATCAGCATGTTACCTATAATAAAGGAAAACTAAAAACTACCTCTAACTATACATTTTAAGTACTATCCATAAATTATAAAAATTAGAAACATGGATTTTTATTATGAGAAATGAAAACAAAATAGAAATTGAAAAGTAAAGGACATATCATCACAATGTTTCTTGCGTGTGTGTGTGTGTGTGTGTGTGTGTGAGAGAGAGAGAGAGAGAGAGAGAGAGTATAACTAGAGTTTGAATTCAGAACTTTGCACTTGCTACTCAAGTACTCTATTGCTTGAGCCAAGCATCTAGCCCTCTTTTGCTCTGATTATTTTGGGGATTTATTATTTATTTTTACCTAGGCTAGCCTGGACTGTAATCCTTCTATCTATGCTTCTCACGTAGCTGGGATGACAGGCCTAATGCCCAGGTTTTTCTGCTGAGAATGGGACATGTTGCTGTTTGTCCAGGATAGCCTTAGGCCATGATCCTCCCAATTTCTGCCTCCAAAGTAGACAGTATTACAGATGTGAGTCACCAGTTACTGTCCACTTACCTTTTTTGTTCTAATTTCTTTACTTCTTAAAGCTAAAAATAAAACATTTTCTTTAAAGGACAAGTACTATTATTATTTTTTTTTTTTGTCGGTCGTGGGGCTTGAACTCTGGGCTTGGGCGCTGTCCCTTAGCTCTTCAGCTCAAGGCTAGCGCTCTACCACTTGAGCTACAGGGCCACTTCCGGTTTTCTGGTGGTTTATTGGAGATAGGAGTCTCACAGTCTCTCCTGCCCGGGCTGGCTTTGAACCGCGATCCTCAGATCTCAGCCTCCTGAGTAGCTAGGATTACAGGCGTGAGCCACCGGCGCCCGGCACAAGTACTATTATGTTAAGTTGAAGTGATGTCACTGACCATAGAGACATAGTGATATCACTGATCAGAGGGAAGTAGTCAATTTATAAGAAATTACTAGCCAGGCGCCGGTGGCTCACGCCTGTAATCCTAGCTACTCAGGAGGCTGAGATCTGAGGATCATGGTTTAAAGCCAGGCCGGGCAGGGAAGTCCGTGAAACTCTTATCTCCAATAAACCACTAGAAAACCAGAAGTGGCGCTGTGGCTCAAGCGGTAGAGTGGCTCAAGCGGTAGAGTGCTTGCCTTGAGCTGAAGCGCACAAGGACAGCAGCACTCAGGCCCAGAATTCAAGCCCCATGACGGACAAAAAAAAAAAAGAAAAGAAAGAAAGAAATTACTGAGGGTAGTATAATAAACTGGGAAGTTAGAAGCACACTACTGTAACAAGCACATACTAAAGTGCCTTTCAATTTATTATAAGTACAGAGCAAAAGGTTCTGTACTTACAATTTTATGTTGGTAAAGTGACAAAGAGGGGCTGGGAAGGTGGCTCAGTGGTAGAGTGCTTGCCTTGCATGCATGAAGCCCTGGGTTCAATTCCTCAGCACCACATAAGCAGAAAAAGTCAGAGTGGTGCTATGGCCCAAGTGGTAGAGCCCTAGCCTTGAGCTGAAGAGCTGAGGGACAGCACCCAGATCCAGAGTTCAGGACCCATGACCAACCAAAAAAAAAAAAGTGACAGAGATAGTTAAAGCTGCAATAAAATAAAGGGCCAAAACAAATGGAATAAAGTATTCACATTGCCTATGTAAGTGTGTCTATATACTATGCTATTGCTACACTCAATAAAAGCTTCTGTGTTACCAAAATACACAATATGCTGGAAGAATCATTTTATACACTATTTACTAAGATTCTTCCATAATCTTTGCTGCAAGAAGAATACAGGTCAAGATTCATAGATATGCATAAAGAACAGGAGTAGAATATTTTAGTATAATTATGAAAGGCTTATAGCTATTCATGGTAGAGAAGGAAAATAAATGTAGCCTTAGAAGATGCTCAAAACACAAAAATAATCTGTGAGGGCTGGGAAGGTGGCTCAGTGGTAGAGTGCTTGCCTTGCATATCTGAGGCCCTGGGTTCGATTCCTCAGCACCACACAAGCAAAAAGAAAAAAGCCGGTAGTGGCACTGTGGCTCAAGTGGTGGAGTGCTAGCCTTGAGCTGAAGAGCTGAGGGACAGCACCCAGGCCCAGAGTTCAGGCCCCACAACCAGACAAAAAAAAAATAATAATAATAATCTGTGAATATTGTTTTATAACTGCATTCTTACTTCTAAGTAAAATATGTTTCAAATTATCATGTACCTACCTGAAATTAAAAAGATGTAGTTAACAATAACTAAATATAACAATGAAAAAAATAAGGATATTTTTCCTGTTTCTGAAGGTCATAAAAATCTACTTTTTATCTAAATCCTTTCTTTTGTCACAGCCTATTATAACTGCTTCTTTTTCACTGAAAAAATGAGAAAAGCAGCAGGCTGAGTATGACAAAAAAAAGATGAGATGGATTTCTGGTGTGACTCAAGGAAATGGGTGTTACATGTTCACAGTCACACTCCATTGTAAGGGGAAGCAAAAAATAAGAGGGAGCAAAATTTCCCACAATTGCAGGGGGCACAGGGTTCATACAGGATAGGCACTCCTGTGCCAAAGACTTCATAGTTTTCAGATAGTAGGTCCAAATCCAAGCAGAATAGGTATTTCCACAGGTAATGTACATTATAGTATTTAGTGTCATGGGATCGCCAATAGGTCTTATAATCACCAGGTGCTAATTACTCACTCTTGTAACCCTAGCTACTCAGGAAGCTGGGATCTGAGAATTGTGGTCTGAAACCAGCCTGGGGAGATTCTCACCTCTAATTAACCAGCAAAAAGCCAGAAGTGAAGGTAACCTTGAGCAGAAAAATCGCATGAGAGAATAAGGCCTGGAGTTCAAGCCCAGTGGTACCAGTATAAAAACAAAAAAAAAAAAGGAAGAAAGAAAAAAGAAAACAAGTCTTATAATTCCTTAAAAGAACTGCCATAATTAGGAATGTAATATCTATCCTAAACTCACATGGACTCTAAAATTAGCAGGTCTTAATATTATTTACTTTGGGACTTTCTGTCTTATGTATAACTTAAAACATTTTACATCCTGTTACATTTCTTCCTGTTTGGCCTCGGATTACACAATGATTTACTGGCTGCTCTTAAATCTGCTTTACAATACTTCCTATACTACAAAATGAAACCCTTTTTATGAAGTTTTCTATAGTATTTAAAGGGGAAATCACTAAATTTCATACTTCCTTGCAGTATTCCTGGACCTAAATAAATTATCCAGATTGAGCTGAGGATTCCAAATGCACAGTGTCCAGCAAAGTTGGCTTCTGGTTTCATGCTGTAACCATGATCTCAGCTACCCAAGACATGCTTTTTCCAGACATTACTGATTAAACCAATCAATTAATTATTGAAGGTAGCTGAACCCAGGTTAATAAAGAAAATCAACTCCCAATACATTCCACAATGCTTTACATAAGCAAAACAAACAAAAACCAAAACAAAATCACAATTATTAAAAAGCCGATTTTTGCTTAAAACACCAAGCAAGGAATGGACACATGAATATTCCTAACCTGCAAAATGATTCCTCCACATTATATCAGCGAAACTCATTGGTGGGCCACTGGGAGGGTAGTGTTTACCTTTCAGAGGCTCATGATCAGTCCTTATCATATCCATTAAGGAGTTCTCCAACGAGTGCAAGTTAAAAGTGTCATAGGGCCTACTCCGGTCCTAAAAATAAAAACACAGAATAAGACAATACATCAAATTCTTCCATAAAATTAACATGGTATCATTTACTTTCTGCTGTGGGCTGGTGACATGAAAGTTACAGTGTTTTGTTTTGTTTCACTTTGTCAGTTGTTGGGCTTGAACTCTGGGCCTGGGTGCTGTCCCTCAGCTCTTCAGCTCAAGGCTAGAGCTCTACCTCTTGAGCCACAGTGCCACTTCCGGTTTTCTGAGTGGCTTATTGGAGATAAAAGTCTCAGGACTTTCCTGCCTGGGCTGGCTTTGAGATCCTCAGATCTCAGCCTCCTGAGTAGCTAGGATTACAGGCATGAGCCACCAGTACCCTGCTGAAAATTACAGTTTTAATAACCGTCAGTCATTAAAGAATAGTGACTTGGCACCCATGAAGTTAAACATCAGTTTCCATAATTAAGCTGAATCCCTTCTCCTAATATTCTATAATGTAAATGCCCTACTCAGTCAGGCTTTCTTTCAAATGATCTAGAAAAGGAGAATTCAAGTGAATTTAGCCTCCATCTCCTGCTTCTTTTGTCAAGTGAACACAAACTACCTGCCCCCCAGGATAACCACTGGAATGAACTCAGCCTACAAACTCAATCACTTTTTGCATCTTTGCTCTTATATGTGGAAGCTATAATTAGCTTGTAAACTTACAAGTAAATCTGTTGGTGGGTATGGTATGTAAGTGTAAACAAATATACTAACAAATATTGTAGATTCAAGGGAGATCTCAAATAGTATAATTCCTTAGAAAAGCAAAATCAAAGTTTGGCAAAAAAAACCAAAACTCTAGGAAGCTGGAACTTGAAAGGAGTAGGGTGAGGTCAAGGGGAAAAGGGTAGATAAAGAGAAGAGAAGGTAGTCAAGAATCCAATGTATGGAGGAAGGGAGGGATAGTGGGAGAACAACAAAGGAGGAGGTAACAATGCTCCACAAGTAATGTACTCATTACCTTACTCATGTAACTGTTGCCTCTGTGTACAGCATCTTTACAATAAAATAAAATACAAAAGAATCCAATGTATATCATATAAAAATTAAAAAGTAAGAGAAGGGGTAGGGAGCAGTGGGATGGGTAAATGTTGATCAAGATATATTCATTTGTGGGCTGGGAAGGTGGCTCAGTAGTAGAGCACTTGCCTTGCATGCATGAGGCCCTGGGTTCGATTCCTCAGCACCACATAAGCAAAAAGAAAAAAGCCAGAAGTGGCGTTGTGGCTCAAGTGGTAGAGCACTAGCCTTGAGCTGAAGAGCTGAGGGACAGCACCCAGGCCCAGAGTTCAAGCCCCATGACTGAACCCCCCAAAAAAAACAAAAAAACAAAAAAGATCTATTCATTTGTTAAATGATAACTCCTTTGTACAACTACTTAAAGATAACAATCAATCACTTTTCTGAAAAATCAAAAGGTGATATGATTTTCAATATAATTGAAATGAATGTTTTTAATATTATGAGAGGTAAACTCCACATATTAGGTGCTTTTTAAAATATTTTTTAATATAGGCTATGAGGGAGAAAGAAGGAGCAAGAGAGAGAGAGAGAGACAGCAAGAGAGAGTAAAACAGCTGAAATAATGAGCTTGAGAAAGATCTGGAATGAAACTAGGATGTGGGTAAGTGGTAGTGTACTTGCCTAGGGTGAAGCCCTGAGAAAGGAAAAGAAAAGAAAGATAGGAAACACAATACATAGGAAATGAAATATAATTCCTCATACTTTATCAAAAAATTAGTGCAATTTTACCTTCAATTACAAAATTGGAAATCTAGGCCTATTTAGAAGACCATCCTAAAAAAATGTCCAAGTCACTCTTTGACAAGTGAAGAAAACTTTAACTCAAAGTCATGTTTTCATGATGCTGGACTTTAAAAAATTGAAAATAGAGAGCTAATGTAAACTAAGTGAAGAAAAATAATAATTGTTCCACCATATTTCAATTAAGCCTACACTTCTAAACTCTTCTTAGTAGTCTGAACCTAAAGAAAACTGTGGCTTATGACATAGGTTAATTCTATAGACAGATCTATTTTACTTTGTTTTAAAAAAGGCAAGAAAAGCCAAGCTGTTGGTATACTCCTATAGTCCCAGCACTCAGGAGACTAAAGTGAGAGGGTTGTAAGATCAAGGCTTGCCTGAGCAATACAGGAAGACACTGTTGGGGGTGAGGGGAGATAAAACAAAAGTACATACATCTCAATAACCAAACCAATTCAAACTTCAGTAATGAAAGACTGAATGCAGCACCCTGAATAGTTAATCTTCTTCAATGGACAACACTCCTCAATGATTCTTGACTAGGAAGAGACATGCAAATTTTTCTCTGGTTTTGGTTTCTATATAATTCCAGAAAGTCTTGTCTTCCTGTAGATCATTTGTTTTGCTTTGAGCTTACGTTATCAGTGGAAATCCTAATAAGGAATATTGGATATCCAGAATACAAGTTTATCTGTCTCCCAAAGAACTGTATTTTTGTCCAAAGAAAAAGCCAGCAATGAAGAAGTATGCTGATGAGGAAGCAAATGACAACCTATATCTGGCACTGCAATCCCAGAATGAATACCAAAAAGACTTGTATCACATCTGTACTTCTCAATAGAGCCTGCAGACATGAGGCCCTTTCAGCACAGGCTGACAGAGAAATATAAGAAAAGACTATGGTGGAATGTCATAGTGCATGCCTAGAAACCCAGCATACTGTGGCTGAGGATCAAAAAGTTGATGCCATCCTAGGTCACTATCTGTTGAACACAAAAGCTCAGGCTGCAACAGGACCTGAGTTCAAGCCCCAGAGCAGCAGTATGAGGAGGAGGGTAAGATTTAGAGAGAAAAATAAAGTCCAGATCTCAGCTCAAAACCAAGAAGTATAAACCTAAAGAGTATGAAACTGCCCAAACAAGTTAACACAATACACCTGAGATGGAAAATAAAAACGTGCGTGGGGGGGAGAAGGGGGGGTGTGCATGTGTATGAATGTGAGCCAGGATTAGGGCTTGAATTTAGAGCCAAATGCTCTCATTTGGCTTTTCCTCTTAGGGCTGACTACCTACCACTCGTGCCACACCTCCACTTCTGGCTTTTTTCCGGTTAATTGGAGATAAGTGTCTCATGACCTTTGAACCACAATCCTCACATCTCAGTCTCCAGACTAGCTAGTATTAGGTATGTGAGCCATCAGCACCCAGCTTGTAAATTAAAACTTCTATAAAAGTGTAACATTGGGGCTAGGAAATGTGGCTTAGTGGCAGGGTGCTTGCCTAGCATGCATGAAACCCTGGGTACGAGTCCTCAGTACCACATAAACAGAAAAAGCCAGAAGTGGCACTTGAGCAAAAGAAGCTCAGGGACAGTGTCCTGGCCCTGAATTCAAGACCCAGAACTGGCAAAATAAAATAAAGCATAGCAATGCATCTAACTACTGATGAAATGACCTTCCAAGCAAAGTGGTAATAAGTTTCCTGTTACAAAAGATATCAGAGATTAGTTACTCAAGTGTGTTTTCACCTATCTAAATTGAAACAATTCTCTACCAGTCAAATTGTCAAAAGCATACAAGCAGCTAGTTAAAATACAAAGTGCTGAGCTATAGTTAAAAGCCACTTAAAATAATTTTTTTTTTTTTTGGGTCCAGTCGTGGGGCCTGAACTCTGGGCCTGGGTGCTGTCCCTCAGCTCTTCAGCTCAAGGCTAGCACTCTACCACTTGAGCCACAGCGCTACTTCCGGCTTTTTTCATTTTGCTTATATGGTGCTGAGGAATCGAACCCAGGGCCTCAGGCATGCACGGCAAGCGCTCTACCACTGAGCCAACTTCCCAGCCCCCACTTAAAATAATTTTTAAACAGAGTTAATCCCATCTATGAGGGAGGTGGAAATAGGAAGATAGTGGATTGGGGTCAGCCCAGACCAAAAAAAAAAAGTTAGGGATACTCTATCTCAAAAAGCTAGCTGAATATATGGATATACTAACCCCTCCCAACTAATATAAACTAATAAAAAGAATACACCTGTAATCTAAGATAAGTAGGAGGCCAGAGGTAGGAGGATTTCTATCTGAAGCCAATCCCCAACAAAAATCAAGATTCTATCTGAAAAAATAAACTAAAACACAAAAGGTAGAGTGTATGGCTTAAGTGGTGGAGTATTTGCCTAGCTAGGGTAAGGCACTGAGTTCAAACCCAGCACCGCCAAATAAGCCAATAAACAAAATATAGACATTCATGGAGGTTAACCTAACAGGGCTCACTAATGCTCAACAAATGAAAACACATGACATATGAATGGCATGACAAAATTTGTAAAGGTAGCTTAATTAAACTTTAGAATTCTAAGAGACTTGTTTTCTCATTAAAATTAATTATATTCATGCCTCATCAATTTATATTTGCTGCATACCATTCATCTTCTTTGTTTTACAAATGGTCAGTCATGCTGAAATAACTGACAAACCAGGAAGCCAACAAAAAACAAAACAAAAAGGACTGAAAAATATGCAATGAAATCCAATAAAAATCATGCATACAGACAACCAAGCTACAATTTGTCATTCAATGACCAAAGTTACACATGGCAAGTTGCCTGCTAAGTTTCTTTTGGTAAGTTTTGTTTCCCAATACCGGAAAAAAAAACAACAAAACAGTTTTTGTTTTGCCATTAACAAACAAGCATACTAGGAAGCAAGAGAACATTTATAAATAATGCATCTCATTATTGACTCATTTTCTTTAAAGACAAACAGTGACAGATGTTATCAGCTAGTTGTTCACAGGAGTGGCTCACCCCCACTGGAAAAGCCCTGCTCTTTTTGTTCCCCACAGCTTGGTTTAGTATTGATAGATTTGTCAAGTATTTAAAGTTACCTCACAACTCCATGAAGAAGGTAACCTTTGTTTCCCTCTTATAAATTAAGTAAATGTCTTGAACAGGTTAAGTAACTGGGTCAGAGCTACAGGGCAGTCAGGGCTCAAATTGAGTGAAGTCCAGAAGT